TATTTGAGTGTCCTGTGCCCACTGCTTAGCTGGGGGGACAGGCTGGATTCCAGCAGTGCCCTGTTTAATGCCTCTGTACTCCATTTCTTAGCAAAAACTGCTCAGACTCTGCAATGCTGGAAGGTTTTAGAGTGCATTGCAGTGGAAAACTGAGAGGTGAGTGGGGCCCGCTACAGGCACCTGTAATTGCTAAGACGGACCGCATGGGGAACCTTAGCCGGGCCCTTCCCTTGGTTCCCGTGTCGATGGGCCCACTCCTTGGCGAGCACTGTTAATGGTCTAACTCAATATGAAATCTGCTGACGGCGTCCTCAGAAAATGGACTCGGAATGTGTAAGTAGAAAGATGAGCGTTGAGCAGTTTCTTAGTGTTTTGTTTCAGATTTCCGCTGGTCGTCCCAATCATGAGAAATGGCACATTTCTGACAGAGGTAGGAGGCCTGTGTGTTTGTAAAGGAAAGTTAACCCACCTGTGACTTCCTGGGTTGGGCACGCGTTTTCGTTGGAAGAGCGACTGAAGGGCTGTGCTTTAAGTCAGAACAGGGTAGTCCTACGTCCTTGGAGGCAGACAGGTCCTTTTTGAACAAAAGGTGACAGAATACTGGATAATAGTATTTTTGGCACACGCTAGGAAGAGAGCCCGCATGCAGAGCCCCGCTTTCTCCAGGCACACTGAGACCATTAACAGCAAAGCCTGGGTTTCCCCCAAGTGGGGCCTGGCTCTGCCTGGCGTCTGGGGAGCCTCGTGTGCCTCTCCCCAGAGGCTGCCCAGTCTGCCCACACCTCCATCCAGCCCTCCACCTGGGTGCCCACCAAAGGTGGAGCCCAAGACAGACCCACCTGTGGCACCGCTGGCAGCCTGACTTGGTGTGGCTTCTGAGCAGACCCACTTCCTGCCCTCAGCCTCTCCAGCTCCATCGCAGAAGCAATGACCAGCCTGTCATTGTCACTGACGGCCCTGGCCTGTGGTGCAGCAGCCAGCAGGGTTTATAGGCTTCCCAGGGCCGCCCATTCTGCTCTGGACCGGCAGGCAGCCTCCTCAGAAGCCCGGCCGTTAACCATTTTTTTGCTGGCCGTTTTTCTCTCACGCTGTGGCAATGAGCTCAGCCCCACTAAACGTTTCTATGGGTTTCCAGTTTAACTGCTTTTCTTCACCCACGGATACAATTTTTTTCAGGTTTGAAGGGATTGTAAATAGGTCTTGTTTATCCTTTAGATAATAATCTGTCATCATGTGTTGAAACTTAAATATTCTTGCTTGTTTCAGCATCTGGCTGGCTTTAAAACTAAACACCATATTTCCTAAGCTCAGAGAGTAGCATGTGAGTTATACACTGGAAATTTAACCTAGATATTTCATAAAGACATTCGCAGAAAGAAAATTAAACCCAAGAAATAGCAGGTTTGGGCAAATAAATTAGGAGTCAGTCATTCATCCTTCAACATTAGTGGCATCTCCGCTCTCCACTTCCCTTTGCTCCTGAATCCACGTGCACCTGTCCTGCAGGTGTTGCTGACAGACCCAGGAGGCCCCCTCCCAACCACGTAACACATCGTTTTCAACCCCCCCACCCCCGCCCCACTGCCTGCCCAGAGCGGTCCATTGGGATAAACTTCACCCCGATTCCCCGGTGCTCCCCGGTGCCCCACCGTCCTGTGTTTAGTGCTGCAGCCAAGTGCCCCCCCCCGCCCCCTGCTGGTGGCTGGTTTTACCACTGGCCTGGAGAAGGGCTGGCAGAGCTGTGCTGGGGGGGTCCCATGTCCCCAGATGGGTGCGGTGCAGGGCTGCAGAGGTGAGTGCAGGCTACCCACGCCAAGGTGTGTGGTTTTACAAGTGCTGCCTTTGAATTGCTGTCATGCTTTCCTCTTGGTGTCTTTTTCCCTTTTTGAGTTTTTGAGGCTGTAGGGTTGAACCCTGAGTGGTCTTTTGCATTACCGGATATGAATAAAGTGAGGTTCTGCTCTGGACCCCACGTATGCCCTTTCCAGAGGACAGAGGCCGTTCACAGGCCCGAAGCCAAGCCGCTGGTGGGGCAAGCTGGTCAGGCACGTGGGGCACCCCGATTCCGTGAGCCCCAGGCACCTTGAATGGGTGCCTGTAAGCTTCCCAGTTTTGTAATGAGCCTATTGCTAATGAGCTTGGCGGCATTCTGAATGATAATAATTTACCATTTTCCAGACACATGTTTTGGGAAACATATTTTTCAACAGAGAAACCTGAATTATATTTTTTATGGAAAAACACTAACATTCAGGGTTTGTTTCAGCTTTAGAATCCAGCCATATTCTTAGGTGTTAGTTAGCTTCTTAAACAATTGAGTGACATGATAGCATAAATGAGGATGATTTGATTTTAGATGTATTTCTGGCAGTGGCAAGCTCAAGATGATTTCAGCACCAAAAATGCCTGAGCCACCATTTTGAAAGAGATGAGTCATGAGAAAGTACTACTTCCTCCTCAGCTAAATAAATAAATAAAATAAAACCCAAACCTTGAAATAGCCAAACATATCACTTAAAAATAGCCACTCGTGGGCCGGCCGAGTGGCTCAGTTGGTTAAGGGCTTGCTCAAGAGTGTGAGCTCTGAGCAATAGCTGTTCTATTCCCGGCCCAAGCTGAGCTGCCAACAGGTGGCAGGATGGCTCAGCTAAAAAAAAAAAAAAAAGCCACTCGCAACTCGCATTTCCGTTGCTGTCTCCAGCGAGCACCCCACCACTGCAGCTTTTCATTTTCTGCTGAATTTGCTTTGGGGCGGATGGTCCTGTGGTTGGTTCAGGTTTTGTGCTTATGGCTTAGAATCAGCTGCATTGGGGCTGCCAGGTCTTGGGGTCACCATCTCATTAGAGCACTGGGTGGTTAAGTAACTTGTCAGTCCGCGCATGACTAGTTAGTGTAGGGACAGGACCCTGATTTTAGGAATTTCAGTCCGCCGAACCCCAGTCATTATTCGCGTGAGCGCAGATGGATGGCGCATACCAGGTTCTGTCCAGGGAGAGACCATCCCGTTCCAGGGGTGTTTATGGGTAGAGCGTTCTGAAATGCCAGGCTAGTTGTGGAGGACCTCGGTCACCAGCCACTGGTTGGCCGCTCACAGCAGATCTTGGTAGCTCACGCCGGCGGCCAGCCACTCACTGTAGCTCACAGCAGCCCACTGCAGCCCTACTGCAGCCTACGCTGTCGCCGATGACTCACAGCAGCCCAGCTCCAGGTCGAGCTGTTGTTCACCATCTTAGCTGTAGAGGGCAGTGTCAGCGGTCCATATGAGATCTGAACTGGGGCCCTGCGCTCAGAGCTGGCATCCCAAGCCAACTCCTAACCAGCACGTCACTCGGCCCGTTTTCTAGTAGGCATTCCTAGGATTCAAGGATCCTCCCATGCTAGCAAGCCACACTTCTCCGAGTTGTCTTGGTTCTCTGTTGGCTCCAGAGCTTTCTGGTGGCTCTGTCCTTGAAAAGCACCTGTTCTGTGTGTCCAGTCTGTCACAGGGTGATGGGTAACTGGGTCAGAGTCACGGGGTCCCCCAGGGCCAGTGGCTGGGCTCCCCGCCCACCCATTCCCAGCAGCAGGGCCTTTTTTCATGCCTCCAGTGTTGGGCTTTTGCTTAAAGAAAGGACCTCCCCTACTGCCAAAAAGAAAACATGTGAGGACCTCCAGTTTCCATTATTGGGGTTGGTTTCTAAAGTATTTCTTCTGCTGAAATATTTACAAACTCAGTGGGATTGAATTCTCCAGACTCACCTTGTATATTTGCTGCCCAGTCCGAGGACCAGCCATTTCCCCAGGGAACCCCGTGTGCACATGAACTTTCAATCACCTTGTTTACTTTTGAAATTAGCAAGCTGTGGGCATCTGTCATTGTGTTTTTACACATTAATTTAGGTCCTTTCACTTCTGGCCACGCATAAGTAATGAAAGGGAACTTGTACTCCTGCTGTAAACCATTAAAAACCAGCTGAAACATTACACAACAGTTTTCACACACTGGGACCATAGGTGGTGCAGGACTTTCACATGAGAGACGGGTCAGCGTGGGGACTGTGTGCCACCGGGCCTATCCCAGCAGCACAGGAGGATCTGCCAGGGGGAGGGGCAGTGATGGGTTTTCTGGGGGACGATGGGGCTTCTGGGGGATAATGGGGCTTCTGGGGGACGATGGGGCTTCTGGGGAACGATGGGGCTTCTGGGGGACAATGGTGCTTCTGGGGGATGATGGGCTTTCTGGGGGATGATGGGGCTTCTGGGGGACGATGGGCTTTCTGGGGGACAGTGGGGCTTCTGGGGGACGATGGGCTTTCTGGGGGGTGATGGGGCTTCTGGGGGATGATGGGCTTTCTGGGGGACAGTGGGGCTTCTGGGGGACGATGGGCTTTCTGGGGGACGATGGGCTTTCTGGGGGCCAAGGCAGCTGCACTGGCAGGGCACAGAACTGGAGAGGAGGGAGCATGGTGACAAAGTGCTCACAGGGCGTGAAGATGCACCCGGCCAGCCGGCAGGAGCACAGCAGCCCCAGAGCTCCGGAGGACTGGCAGACAGGTGTTCCACACGCACCAGACAGACCCGACAGACCACAGGATGCCGCTGAACATCTATGACAACAAGTAGAGACCCCGGAACAGGGCACCTGAGTATTCAGGCTGCTCAAGACCTGACCACAAAGCTTAACAACAACCCTCAGAAGAATCGTGCTGACCTGTACAAGTACTGAGGTGCCCTTCAAAAAATGACAGCAAAGTTCAACACTGAACTCGGAACATTTCCAACGTCCAGCAGCTAATGAAAATACTGAACCACACAAAGCAGCCGCCTTGCCACTCGGCCTGAGGCCACTTGTCTGTGCTGACGGTGCCCGCGGAAGACAGTGTTGCTCTCCGCACAGCCCACTTTGTCATCCGTGCGTCCGTCCTCTCTCCCCACGTGGGCGTGCCGTAAGCAGACTGCGCCCTGTCATGTATCTCTCAGTAAAGGTTTTATCAATATGTGAGAAGACGAAGTAGAAGGGGAGTTTTTTTGACAGCATTTAATATTTTAATGGTATATTAGAGAAGCTATTTAAATGTATAAGATCCAAATCGTTATTCTTCCAAAAAAGAATATAAACATATAAACATGGAAACGATAAACTCACAAAGGCATTTTTTGTTCTTTAGTTTTCAGATTAACATTAAAGTATTCATTAAAATAGATCATCCAGACAACGGAGTATTATTCAGCTAAAAAGAAATGAGCCATCAGCCATGAAAAGACACAGAGGAAGCGTCAACACATGTTACTAAGTGGAAGAAGCCAATGTGAAAAGCTACACACTGTGTTAGCCCAGCTGTGTGATGTTCTGGGAAAGACCAAACCATCGGGACAGGACCAGATCAGGGCTTGTGGGTTGGGGCCAGGGGAGAAGATGGAGCGCAGAGGTTTTAGGGCTGTAGGTAGTCTGTATGATATAATGGTGGGGACATGTCATCATACATTTGTCTGAACCCATCGAAGTACAGCAAGAGTGACCCGAATGTAAGCTGCAGACTCTGGGTGACAGTGACGTGACAGTGCAGGTTCATCGAATGTAACAAATGCACCATCTGGTGGGGATGTTGGTAATAATGGGGAGGCTGTGTGTGTAGTGGGGGATGGGAAATCGCTACATTCCTCTTAATTTTATGGCGAACCTAAAAATGCTCTTGAAAAGTGGTCGTAGTAAAAAAAAAAAATTGAAAATTCAATCAATAGGATAGGTTCCACAAATCCTAGAGAGCCCTTTCCTTGGCATGTCTCTTCTCTATTCAACCAAGAAAATCTTAAAATAAATCCAGGTAGAATGATGCGTGTACATTCTGGAGTAAGATCAATTACTGTACCTTGTACCGTTATGTTTCATGTGTTCCTAGCTTTTCTGCAAATCATGTCAAATAGAACAGATGGCGCTTTGGGAACAGCTTTTCACTGCCCTCCCCGGAGCGCCTGGCGATGGGCACGCGGCCCGCCAGGTCACAGGAGCAGGGTGGGCTGTCGCAGGGCTCGTGCCTGCCATCCTGGTAGTGTGCGTAAGGCTGTGCGTGGCTCTCGGACCTCAGTGAGGATGATAAACTTGTTCGTTCTTGGCAAGATTCACATGGTAGCTGAAGACTAAGCAACTACGACCACTTAGGACCGGATCTTAAAGTTACTTGAATCATGCCTTTCTCTCCTGGTTCCTTCTTGGTTGTTTGGTTGGGGTAGAGCTAGAGAGAGATGCCAGCCAGCGGGCAGACCAAGCCGGAGCCTCCTCATGTGCCGCGCATTCCCGCCTGCTCCACCTGGGAGTGGTGGCTTCTCCCATGTCCACCCGCCCGTCACTTGTGGGCATCCTTTAGTGTGTTGGTTTGGGCCAAGGCCTCGTGTGTAAGTTGAGTCGAGTGCCAGAAAGCTGGTATGTAACACATGTCTTCCAGTCCTGTCCCCCACACCGGCACACTGAGTTTCAGCAAACTCGTAGTGTTCCCCAACTGCCAGGAAGGACCCTCACCTGCCAGTCCTGCCCATTTCTGGTGGGCAGGGCTCAGACCTCGCTCCCTACTCGCTGGAAGGAGAAGCTGCCGCTGGCCTCCCTCCTCTCCTGCACCTTCGGGAGAGACGCCCTGGAAGGGCCAGCAGTGCCAGCCTGCACGGCTTGTGGAGGAAGAGGGTCACCAAGGAGTTCACGCAGCTCTCCCCAAACAGGACCAGCTCTGCGAGGCTCAGACGGAGCTCATCCCTGGGCGAGCCGATGTCCCCCAGCAGCTTCAGCCGGGCCCGCTGCAGGAGTGTGATGTTGTAGGGGAGTCGGCAGGCGAATGTGGTCAGGGCAACGGCCACCACTGCTGGGTGAGCAGAGCCTGCGTCCCTCTGGGGTGGAGCTGCCGGCCGGGCCCGCTGGACGGCCAGCAGGGTGAGGAATGCCAGCTCCAGGATGAGCGCAAGTCCGCAGCCCAGGCAGACCTTGACGATTTCATACTCAGGCCAGGCAGTCAGCGGGTCCAGCTGGCACAGAGTGGGTCTGTGCAGCTCTCCGGACGTGCCCAGCAGGGCCACCACTCCCAGGGAGCTGCAGAGGGCACAGCCCCCAAGGGCGACCAGGCCCAGCACAAGTCCGGGGGCCCCCTTGGTGGCCATGCACAGACAGAACGAGGGACCCTGCAGCAGGAACACAAAGAGCATGGCCAGCTGCACGTACTGGGCATTGAAGTAGCAGACGTTGGACAGAAAGGAGAGGATAGCACAGCCCAGGTGGGTTGTGTCCAGGTAGTCTGGCCGGCTGGCGGCGGTGAGTGAGAGCAGCGTCACCAGCACATTGGTGACAGTGAGGTCTGAGAGGAATGCATCCAGGTGCCCCAGCCTGGCGCGGCCCCGGATGAAGGTGGTCAAGTTGAACAGCCCGGTCACCAAGCTCACTGGGACGAGCAGAGCCATGTAGACCTGCACACACCTGGAGATGATGTCCTGGGAGGCGATGACGTCTTCCAGCGCCGTGGAGACGCGGCTCGGGTACCGGACCCAGGACATGTTGCGGGAGCTCATCCCAGCAGCGCCGGCCTGGAACGGAAGCACACGCCCTGCAGTTACCGAGGGTCTCTGGCCAGGCAGCTGGCTCTGCGGGGGGTCCCTGCCTCGCCTCTCTGGACCCTCCCTCCACTTGCTCACCCCACACCCCACAGACCTGATTCCTCAGCCCGTGATGTGTTCCTGCCGCCCACTCGAGCATGAGCACCAGGGCCTTCACCCCACTTTGCCCCACCCCAGAGGGGTTAAGTGAGGGATTTGTGGGGACTGGAGCTCTAGGACCCGGATACTGAGCCCACGCAGTGCGTCCTGCTTATCTCAGCCAGGGCCTCTGCCCTCGTGCAGGGGATGGCCAGAATCCGTGTTGCTCAGAGGCTGGGCAGAGTCGAGTTTGCATGAGTTGTTGGCTTTTGGACCCAGAGAAGTTCTGACTGGTCCTGGCCGTGGGGGACCCTACTTTTCAGGGACCCACGGGCCTTGGATGCACCCTGTGGGTTGCGATGCCTCCTCCCCTTTTATCTGCCACTTGTTTGATTGCAGTCAAGCTGTCAAGAGCAAAGTTGGGGCTTTGAATAACAGCCCTGACAGGCTCAAAGCCTTCCTAAGCTCATCTTTTGTCACGGAAGTAATTTTGTTTCCATATAAATGCCCCCTCCTCCTAAAATTTAACTAGATAGCAGGTGAGGCTGGGAGATAGCATCACTATTTATTCAAAGGAGACTGAAAGCAATAAAATTGGAAACTTAGTTTTAACAGGGCACTCCAAGGTGGGTCTGTCTGTACAGCCAGCTTTCATTTTCTCTGTAGGAGCATCTGTGTGTGTGTGTGCGTGTGTGCGTGCGTGTGTGCATGTGTATGTGTGTGTGAAAGCACATCCTTGCTTTGGGCCAGGCTGGCAGTCACAGTGTGACCACAGATTGCAAACGTAATTCGGAAGTAGAGAGCCAAAGTGATTGGCCTCCCTTCCCAGCGTGTGACACGAGAGCTCGCTACATGTCACCCAGACGTGGCATCAGGAAGCGCGTCTGTGATGCACACAGCCGTCTGGCACGTGGGCCTCTGCACACGCAGGTTTGCTGTCCTTCTCCTCTCGTACACGGGAAGCAGCATGAGCGGAGCCAGGCAGCCATCCAGAGCGGCTGCCTTGCTCATCCTGTTCCTTGAACCTTCGGGCTGGGCCAGACACGACTGTTTCATAAACAGCTGTGTGTCACGGGCATGATCGAGGACACCCTGATCACAGCACTGAAAGTGACCCCCTTCTGTCTCAGGATGGCGTCAGTAAACAGTCGTGTGCAGCCGAGAGCAGCTTAGCTCGTCAGCTCCTTCCAGTGGAAATTCTTTCTTCCTTTCATGTAACTATTCCTTCCCGTTTTCTCATGAAAACCATCGCTTCCTTCCTGTCATTGGGACCCTGTTTGGGCTTCCGCCAGAATCTGTGCTCCTGCATCGCGATTCTGTGATCCTGAATGAATGCTTTGCCTCTTGAACTGGGCTCGTGTTTTTAGATTGACGATCTCACACACACGTGCTGTTTATACGTGCACTTTTGCATCTGATGGCTGTGTGGTAAACTGAGGCACTGTATAAATGCTGGGCGCATAAATAGCTCTCCCCCTGCCCTCCCCTGTACAAACACCGCTCTCCGTCCTGCAGGCCTGAGGACGCGATTTGTACCCAGATGTTCTCCAGGTATGTGCCTGGCTTTCTCGCTCTGAGAGACACAGGGAGTTGTGATGTTTTCCATCTGCCAGCGCTGAAGGTGATGAGTGAATCCCGGACACTCAGTGACATCGAAATTAAGAATAGTGACTGGGCCGAGAGGAAGCGATTTGGAATATTCATTTAATTAGGGCAAATTGGACAGACGCTTTTGTGCATGTTGCCACAGGTCAGTCCTGGCGTCCGGTCTCTGCAGCCCGCACTTCCTGGGGCGTTCGTTGTCAGGGGCCACCCCTGCTTGTGGCAGGAGGACACGTGCGTCCCAGCCTGGCCTGAGAGCAGGTCCTGGACTCCGGCCCGGTGGAAAAGCTTGTTGACTGCTTCTTGCTGCTTTCTGTGCTTTTCTCCCAAGGCAAGGGGCCTCCGGGGGTGAAGGAGCTCCAGCTTTATGACGCCCTTGTCCTCCCCGGTGGTGACAGGCCACCAGTGGTGTTCCTGCGCTGACACTGCTTGCTGCACATGGGCCACCTAAACTCGCAGGCCTCAGCTGCCCGCTGTGTTCAGCAGGCACCGGAACAACCACCTGCCAGCTTGGGGACATACTGAAGGCCACAAAGGCCTCGTACGGCACCCTCGCCCAGGCCGACGGTGTGGGCCGTGCCCTCTGCTCACCTCTGCCTGCCGCCCTGCCCCAGTCTCGTGTGTCTCGGGCTTTTGATCTTTTTGCCTCAGGGCTGTGTGAGCGAAGGTTCGCGGCCTCCAGTGCTGTACAGACCCAGGCAGGACCCCCTTCCTGCACCTCCTGTGCTTCCGATTCAGGCCCAGGAGCGCAATGTCCTGGCCGGTGAGACCTGAGTCTGGGTGAGGCCCATCTGATGGAGACTTGGTGGGCTCGCTCGTCTGCCCACTTCCAGGTCCCAGGGGCACCGAGCCTGCTCCCAGCAGTGTGCCCCGGGCACACACTCCTTACTGGGCCCGCCCTGCTGTGGCCTCACCCACGCCCTGTCTCACAGTCGGAACAGACCACATCCTGCCAGGTGCTTGGTCAACCATGTTGTCTGCCGTGCTGGACCGACCACCTCTCTCCTCACCGCCACTGTCAGATTTTATTTGGAAGATAATATAACAACACATGGAAGACATTTTCTTATGAAATTGTCCACAATTCCGGCTTTTCCACTCACCCGTTCCCAGCTCTCTTATATCCTGGGCTTTTCTTTGGCCTTGACAGTCTCCCCCTCCATCCCCTCAAAAGAGAGATAGGGTGGGGGGTGGGCAGAGAAGAGGTTGCAGTGGGCTCTCACGAGTCAGGCCTGGCTGACACACTGCCACCGCTTCTGAGTGCTTCCCAGGTGCCAGGCACTGCTGGGAGTGCTTTCTGTATAGTAACGCGCTTGAGCCTTACAGCTTCCACACGAGGTGGGCACAGGTAGAATCCCACCTTACAACTGAGGCAGCTCATCACAGTGACGAGTGTTTGCTCAGTCACACAGCAGCACCTGAAGGCGTCGAGATGTAAGCCGGGGCGGTTTGGCCCCAGAACGTTTTACATGCACACGCTGCCCAAGTTACTCTTCGGGCGTGTGCTGCAAGCGCGTCCAGTCACGTAACCACCACCACACACACAGCACAGAAAGGCTCCCTCCCCCACGCTGCTTTGTGCTGGTCCTTGGTGGTCAGCCCCCCCCCCCCCCAGTCCCTGGCACCCACTGACCGTGTTCTGTTCCTGTACCTGATGCTTGCGGAATGTCGCGTGAACAGAGCCCATGTGCACCGAGACTCAGCGTGATGTGTGTGGGTCAGTGTCATTGCTGTATTGCTAACTAGCATCGGGCTGCATGGAGACACAGCTTGCTTACCCGGTCCCCGTTTAAGTGACATTGGGGTTATTTCCAGGTTTGGGCCATTATGCATAAAGTTGCTTTAAATATTTGCACACAGGTTTTTATGTAAATTTTCTTTTTTATGAGCGAATACCTAAGAGTGAGATTGCTGGTTCTTACACTGAGTGTGTGTTTCACTTGATGTGAAGCTGCAGTGTTTCCCACATGGCTTTGCATTCCCGCCAGACCAGCCCCTTTAACTCCTGTGATGTAGCTCCAGCGAAAGCAGGGGTTCTCACCTGAGGCTGGGGATTCCCCGGGAAGAGGGACTGACCCTCCAGGGCAGACCCCGTGGCTTGTCTGCTGCCAATTTCAAGCCAAGAACAGGGACTTCTGGGGTCCTTCCTTGAACCACACAGAAGGGTCCCCTGGGAGCTCCCCAAGGCCAAAGCCTTGAGAATTTTCTGCTTTTTATAGCAGCTCTTGGCCACAGCTCCTTAAATAGCCTTTCAGAACGGCTCTAGGAACCGTGGGCCCCACCTTACCCAGGATTGCTTCCCCAGAGTTAGAAAGTGGGGACGTGAGAGCAGCCTTTTCGGGGGATGGAGAGCGGTGTTTCCCGGAGGACCCGGGGGAAGGTTGGGGAGGAGGGCTGGTGCATGGCGAATGCCAGTTTCCTGCAGGCATAGGTTGTCCCCCCTCCTTGCCAGCCCCCCTGCCTGCCCGGGGTCCCTCCACAGCCCCCGGGACCCAGGCCTCGCTCCTCTGGGCCTTTCTCATGGCAGCTGCCCTCCCTTTCGCTAGTCACTGCCTGTTACAGACCTGTATTTACATGGTTGAGTTTTCTATCCAGGGGGAGTTGTGCTAATTCCACTTAGCACTTTGGTTATTAAGTGTTTTCCATGCTGCAGTTTTACTGTCATCTAATGGGTGAGTAATTACCATAGTGCTGTGACAATAATTTACTAACCGTTCCCCTACGCGTGACCGCAGGAAGCCTCACAACTTGTTTTTCTGTGTAAAAAGAGGGTGAACCTGTGAGGTCAGGAGGCTGCCAGGTGATTCTGCATTGTCCTCAGCTTGCTGGATGGGGTGAGGCCCCCTGTGAGCACATTGTCACCTGATGCTGTGTGGCTTCACATTCGGGTCTTAGGTCTTTTGAGAGCTGTCGCTCTCGGCTCCACCATCCAAAGGTCCTCAGCACACAGCTCTGGCTGTGGGTGCCTGCCCACCACAAGCCCTAACATTGTTGGTGCGAGAGTGGTGACCACATGAAGCGCTATACACGAAGCTGGCAGCGGGAAGGTGGCCAGTGGGGAGTGCCAGCTCCCTGGCACGGGAGTGGCCTCAGAGGACCCGGCCTGCCCTCCCCCCCCCAAGCCGGCTCCTC